TTCAGGACAATCCTGCTATGACTTTTGGTATTGGTGCAACTTTAGCTTTTTGAAATATTTAGCCTTTTTTGTCTTTTTTTTTTTCATAGGAAATTAATTGAGCTCATTTTACATCCTTCAAATCTTTAGCTCTGTTTACAACCTTTTACTGCTCCTTTCACATTTTGTTCTGCTTCTGCTTCTTTCAGCTTCCTTGTGCAAATGTAAAAAAAATTTCAGCTACTTTCAGCAGTTTTGTTCCAACTGTTTTCTGCTCCTTTCAGATTCTTATGCAGTGCTAACTACAATACTTTGTGCCTCTTCTAACTTCTTTCTGCTAATTTCAGCTTTGTTATATTCCTTTCATATAAGTTTAGTAAATTTTGTCTTTTTCTGCTATTTCAGCTTCTATTTAGCTGTTGTTATGCTAATTTTAGCTTTTTCAGCTAATTCCACTTTTTTTTCCACTCATTTAAACTTTTTTCAGCCTTTTTCAGCTCTCCAATTCCTTCTTGTAACTTAAGCTTCTTTCTGCTTTTTTAAGCTAATTTCAGCTGTTTATTTTATTATTTTGCTAATTTTAGCATTTATCACATAATTTTCACTTTTTATCCTCCTTCCTGCTTATTTCAGCCTAATTGGGCAAACATATTCTTTCTACTTTCTTCTGCTAATTTAAGCTTGTTCTACGTTTTCAGCTACCTTTTTTGCATATTTTTTAGCTAATTTCAGCTGTTTTCTGATAAATTCAAGTTTTTCATGGTAATTTCTGCTACTTTCAGCCTAATTAACTTCTTTATAGTAATTTCAGCTTGTCCTTTGAGCTCTTTTCTACTATTTTTTTCATTTTCTACTATTGCAGCTACTATTTAGCTGTTTTAATGCTAATTTTAGCTTTTTCAGCTAATTCCACATTTTTAACTGATTTCAGCTCGTCCAGCTTCCTTCTGGTAGTGTAAGCTTCTTTCTGCCTTTTCTTTTTTTTTTTTTGGCTAATTTTTGTGCACATTTCGGCTTAGTTACACCTAATTCAGCAAATATTTGTTCTTTCTGCTTCCTTCTGCTAATTTTGACTTGTTCTCCTATTTTAGATACATTTCAACATGTTTGTAGCTATACTCAGCTGTTTTTCAGCAAGTTCTTCAGCAATAAAAATTCACACTGCATTTTTGCAGAAAATGCAATTTCTCTATTTTATTTTATTTTATTTTATTTTTTACAGTATTGCATAATTCAGACTGAAGGAGCCTCTGCCCTGAACGTTGGTTCAGCAAACACCAAATCCACTGAGCAGGAGCAGCTGTGATAGGTGTCCTCACTGAACACTGTTTTTTTTTTATTTTTTAATTATTATTATTATTATTTATTTTATTTTTTGACCAGTTTAGTCTAATTACATCAGTGCCATATTTAGTAGCTTGTTGTAACCTGTCATTGCTCGTGCATTGGTGTTCGATAGTCTGAGGCGTTAGCTGCATTGCAGTATTTTCTTTTTCCTCTTTACATTGTACCGCAACGCTCTGCGTGTCCTCTGATAAGACGCACCATCAGCCTCCTTCCAGATGTCATTTTCAGTCTTGTGCAGCATGAAGTAAAGCGACTCATTAGCTTTTGTGTGCCTCACATTCTTCCTTTTTCTGTTTCCTCTTCTTTTTGACATGGCAGAAGTATGCTTGCTGTGAGCACAGGAGTGAAAGAAGGGCACGTGTAGTATGCTTCTATAAATGCTCCCCATGTTCACAAACTGGCCTGCAGGAAAAAGGAAAAGGAGGAAATACTGGCAGCAGTCTAGCTGCAGCAAGACAGAGAGGCTTGTTTGGCCGGTGGGCAGCAACATTCATTAAGATACCATTAAGATACTAAAGAGTTCCCCTCGTTAATCACTGCAGTCATAAAGCCCCAAATAAAAGATCCAGCGGACACCTTCTCCCTCTTCCACTGACTAATCTGCTGCCTTTTCCCTGCCCTTCTTCACAAACTGTCCTATTTAAATCCTACACGAGTCCTTTCTGCTTCGTGCCATCTTTTTTCCCCCCTTTCACTTTCTCATCCCCTCTTTTTTCCCCTTTGCTTTGTCATTTTAGATTAAATCTCCCATCACTCACACACACTCACACATGCACCGCTACTTCTAGGTCTATTTAATGATGCAAGGCCTTAATGTCATCACACTTTTTTATGTTGTTATGCTTTAATGCTTCCTGGAAATGGATGCTGATTTTAGACACAATGGTACAAACTTCACTTAAAGGCTTAGCATTCCTTGAAGGAATGCATGTCACCCGCTGCTGTTCATTTCAGAGATTTGAACCAAAATCATCTTATGATGAGAAGGAACGGAGTGTACTGTATTTTCCGCCGTACACATCGCACTACCCTATAAGACGCATCAGTCCAAATATGTTTAAAAAAGTGGAAAAATCCATGAATATGTCACTTTACGTCGCATCTATTATGCGTCACCACTGACGCGTCGCATTTGTTACGCGTCACCGCTGACAACCAGGAAATATGGGCCGGTGTTGGGCCAAAAATCGATGGACTGCCAAATGGCGGCCGCGGGAGCGTGCACGGGAGGACTTTAACAAGAATTTAACAAGATTTACACTTAAAAACAATTATTTGTTTGCTCGACATTATAGTAAAGGTGTGTCTCAGTCTACGTTTTGCTTAATAAATGCACTTTGACAGTCAAATCATCTGTATTTTCAAACCCGATTTGCGGAAGCGGTGGGCACCCGCAGAGGGACGAGCCTCCACATTTCTTCGAAATTTAACAAAATAAACACCTAAAAACAATTATTTGTTTGTTCAACTTTATAGTAAAGGTGTGTCTCAGTCTAACATTTTCTTAATAAAAGGACTTTAACGGTCAAATCGGTTGTACTCTCTGCTTCGGTGCTCCAGGAGCGAGCAGAAGGAGGAAAAAAAGGAAGGAGGAACGCTGCTTGTTACTTTGAAATTTAACAATAAAAGCACCTAAAACAATTATTTGTTTGCTCAAAATTGTAGCAAAGGTGTGTCTCAATTGAACTTTTACTTAATAAATGTACTTTGATGGTCAAATTAGCTGCATATCGCCGGGGCAGTGCAACTGGTGTGACGGTTGTTCCAAGCAGCAAACAGAACGAAGGTGAAGGTACAGTGGCAAGCCAATTGTGTCATTAATAGCTGGTGAAGGTTCTCAGTCATCCAGGACATGGTAAATTAAAAAAAGTTAAAGACAAAAACAATAAAGTATAAAATAAAGTATAATAAATAAAGTCCAGTTGTTTTTGTCATGAATTTTTTTGAATTTGTCATTATAGCCACGTTAACCTATTACATGAGACAACGGCATGCCTTACTGCTACTACTACTCTGCTTCCATCTCGTGGCTGAAAATGATACTGTTAATTTTTTTCCAGTCATAATGAATGAAAATGGTCATATCTCAGCTTAAATTGGTTTATAAATATGGGAAAAAATCCATAAATATGTTGCTTCAGCACATAAGTCACAGGGCACACAAATTATGCAAAAAAACTGCGACTTATAGGCTGAAAAATACAGTAGCTGATATGGAAACACCTTGTCAATGATAATATTATTCACATAATGTGATAAAAGATTTCACAAGATCTGTAAGAGCTCAGAAATAGTGTTGTGGATCATTTTCAGCTACTAACACATTTTAGCTAATTCTCTGTAAAACTGACTGACATAGCCATTTTTGTTTTGGCTGAAATCAGTTAGCTGTGGTTACTGTCATGAATTAAATTGACTTCAAATGTTAATGAGTCATAAATGTACAGGAAGTAATTACTTTCTAAGAGTTTCACTACAGTTCATCCAGTGGTTAAAATATGGAATATTTAGCTAACAGACCGTATTGACTTATATAAGTAAATGATGAACTTTTAAGCAAAGATATTGCAAAAAGTATAAGTATTCAAAATATTTGTCGTAAGGACTCTCGGGATTACCAAGTTTCAGCTCAGTATCTGTAAAACTGGTAGCGTTATAGCCATTTTTTTTGTTTGCTAAGGTCAGTTAGTTCTGGCAGCCATTTTGAATTGTATTGACTCAAAAATTTAATCATTGCAGCTGTACCTACAGTGATTAATTTCTGAGAGTTTCAATAGAATACATGCAGTGATTCATGATATATTTTGCTAACAGACAGACATAGTAGCCTCCAGTAGTTAATTCCCAATTTTCAGGACATATCGTGAGTTATCAGTTAGCGCTCTAAGTTTTTCTTAGGAATGACTCTCAGCTACTACCATACCAATATTCAGCTCAATAGTAGTAAAATTAGCTGAATTGTAGCCAGTTTTGTGTTTGCTAAGGTTGCTTAGCTGTGGCTGTCATCTTGAATGGGGTTGACTCCAAAAGTAAAACATTTGTAGATGCACATCCATTGAATAATTTCAAAAGGTTTCATTAAAAGTCGTCCACTGGTTCATGAGATATTTTCCTATAACTACAAACCACAAACACACAGACCTGGGCCTAAACATTACTGCCTTTTGTTTTCAGCCACAGGCGATAAATTCTGACGCTGCGTTTCTGTCAAGACGTCGATGCTGCAAACGGCAGATGATGGACTCTGAGTGAAGTTCTGCATGAGTCTATACAGTGTACGAGCGGCTGTCGTAGCTGTGCCTTTTTATACAAGCTTGCTGCATTTCAATACCTGTTGAAACCTTGTCAGTGGCTGCAGGGGGAGTTTCACCTTGAGCGTTAATGAGATATCAGCTTCCTTGTACTCCTTGGTAACCTCTTCAATGAGAGAGTTGGATGCATCACCTGAGATCAATAGAAAAGGTCATTTGTTCATGTATGACCGTGCATGACTTTGTATCTATCTTGTATGTGTAGCTGCAGCTTGAATCAAACACAGAATCAGTTATTTTTTGTTTGTTTTTTTACAACCTGCTCGTTGTGTGTTGGTGCACATGCCAACCCGTGCTGATTTGTTGCATTAGCTCTTTGTGTCCCGAGGCGTTGCTTTTGTTTGATGTTTGTTTTCTTCGCAGGTCTCCTTCATCCAGAATCTGGTGTTCTGCGTGGAGAGAGCCTACAGGGTGCCTGACTACGGCATGTGGGAGCGAGGCAGCAAATACAACAATGGCAGCACGGAGCTGCACTCCAGGTCAGTGGGACAACTACAACAGCAAAGGGAGAGATGTGCTGAAATTAATGTGTACATTCAAATGTGTTGGATGATCACAGATTGGTTAGGAAAAGTGTTGGCTGACTAAATCTGTTCATTTGTGGTAAGGGCTGGGATATTGCGACTTTTCTTAAAACGTGAAATTATTATTATTATTATTGTTTTTTAATCAGGCATTAAGCTCCTAAAATAATTTAATATGTTTGCTTAACACCACTATGTTGTGCTTGTTCCGTATCTCTTCCAAGCAGCATCTGCTTCAGTACATCTGCACTGTTGAGGGTCTGTACCATGGCAGGAGCATCACTTGCATCATTTGCACCCTGGTATTGTCTTGTTACAACCCATGATGCAATATTGACCAGTAGTGCAAAACCTGCCAGGAATGTAATAAGATTTTGAGCCAGTGATGTGAGGATGTTTTCCCAATAATATAATGAGTTATTATATTATTGACGGGCTATTACATTATTGACGTAGCATGTTTTTTTTTAAGGAAGAACTGTAGCCAATAAAGTAAAAAATACACATAAATGACTGCAAATCTTGGAAATATATATATATATATATATATATATATATATATATATATA